CAAAAGTTTGATTCACCAAAAGTACGAGTGATGTTACGTAGCTTGGCCCGGCAAGTGAAATGTGACAACTATGTTTTACTCAAATAGGCTACTATATGAACTAAAAATTTGCTTTCAAGGTTGCAGTTGTTAACATTAGATTGGGCCGTTCGGTAGCCCCAATGCTACATCGATAGTCAGATTCCGGGGTGGGGGGGGGGGCGAACATACGAAAAGAACGGCGTGAATGAAGAGGGCAAAGAATAATAACATTAAACACACGCAGGAAGCTAGTTTATGTACAGCTATCGAGATAATCTGAAACGAAAACAAGCGATTGTGAGATGTTAACAAGAAATATTCACTCTGAACTTTATTGACACCTTTAACTTTCTCATAACTAAAACTTGATCAAGTTGCATTTCTAATGCTGCAGATAATGTGCATCTTCAACTATCTGTGCATAGAGCAAATATCTCGACTTCTATTCAACATAGATTGATATTTTTGTTTCTTCAAAAGTAAAACAAAAGAAATGGCTTGAAGATGATACCAATAACCGTATATGCCCCAAAAGTGACGAGTGCCTGATTCCACCACGTCGTGACATATATGCATCTGATCGTTTTTACACCAAGCTACATTCTGTGCACGTAGACCAAGGACCATCAGCAAATGTGTTTTTAAAATAAATCATTGGTGTTGATGTCAGTAGGACTCAGAAATTAATAAGTGCTTTTGAAGGCAAACTTTTGCTGTACAATGAAACTTTGAAAGATTATTCTATAAGAAATAAAACTGCCTTTCAGTAATCGCTGACTGGTAAATGGATGAACCCAAAATCGTTTGTTATGTTTATTTCGCCTGGTTGAAAACAATACAACACATACAAATGCTATCTCTTCAATTCCATGTTAAAAAATGACTCGTTAATACCAATGTCTTCAGACGTTTGAGTCTCAGTGCGGTACGGCTCAAGTGGAAGTTAAATTCTGCGACAAAACTGACTAAACGGTCTAAAGACAGATTTGTCAAGGTGCAGTATAGGCCTAATGAGTGTGAAGTTGGGAAATTACTGCTGAAGCGAACGGAAAAGTATAACTTCCCAATGATCCATGTATAAAATTGAAATGCAATTCGCTTCCATGGGAAAATACTAACGTTTGACAAACAATAGCGTTGTGTAAACGCGTGCTTTTTTGACTACTTATATCAAGATTTATGTAATGTGTAGTCCAACCAGAGAGCCTGTCCCGGGCCAGGCAGTGAACAGGTTGATTGTTGTTGTGGATGTACATAATTACTTACTTCATTTGAAAATGCTCTTTCCAATGCTTAATGCGTAAAAAAGAAATGCAATTAGCTTCCTTTTGAAAATCATCAGGTTTGATAAACAAGTGTTTAAACATAATAATAGTCATGTAGTGATGTAAACGTTGGGAGGATTTCAGTAGACAATAGCACGAGTATGATTACAATCAAACTGCGTATGAGATTCAGTGGTGGTCATGGAGGCGGAATAATTGCGTTTACCATGTGGTAACAATTTTATGTATCAGATGACAATGGTTGAAGTTTGACATTTTGTTTGACTCATTCCGGAACCATGCAACGGAGATTGCACTCCACATGCCCTCAGTGCAAACGACCGTGTGGCACGCCAGTTCTGATTATTCAGTACCGTCGTGACTGGCTTCTGTGGGTATAGGATCACGTGAACTGGAGGAACAAACACTAGAGGGAAGGGTGCTACTCCCTGACGAGAGCAGATACTGCGTTGATCCGGCAAATGGGTTCATCCGCGTGTGGCACACAGACCTGGCGTGCTACGTTGATGCCAACTCCGTCGAGAGAGAACCATGGGGAGGGTCAAGCGTCATGATTCGTGGAGTTGTCGCCCGGAACCAAAGAATTTGACCAGTGTTCCTATGGAACATGGGTCATGAGCAAGGAAATGGTGTCACAGCTCAGAATTACATCGATTAAGTTCTTCAGCCTCTATGTGCCCGTTTTCAAGGGGCTTTCAAATTTCTGTTTCCAGCAAGACAACACGTGACCTCATACTGTCTGTGTAAAACAGCAGTTCCTGGGACAGATCAACATGAATCGTTTGCCTCATCCGCAGATATGTGAATGCAAAATCTGTCTATGTTAATCAGAGTTGGTCACTCGGGGCTGTCCTATTTTTTGTCTATCCTGGACATTCTAAAAGTACTAGAATCTTTGGATACGTCGGGTAAGAATAAACGCCCTGTATTTTAGACGTCTGGCTGCTTCTCGAACACATTTTCCGCCTTGAACTAGAACTAGGCGGGGGCAAAACTTGCAGTTAGCTTTGCTAAGTTGGTGAGTTTTGTAATGAAAGAAAGGTAAAAACTGATCGCTAAAATGTCCGGACTTTTGTTTGGAAAGAGCCACTTGTCATCTTCAAAGTGAATTGAATTCTTATCATGAGTCTCAGTAACGTCTCATTTGCATCTCACCAACACATTTTACCAAAGCATAGGTCACTGAATAGTATACATGGAAATTACAGACATCATGGATGGGGGTGTAAATTAACAACTACTCACCTCTGTCTCCAAATATCGTGGCGATCAGAGCATATTTGACGTTCTTATAGTTATAGCCTTTTAAAAACGGAGCAAGTCAATTGCAGGGTAGGACCCAATTGCTTGGCAAATTTGCTTGCACTTTGCACCATCCTGTTTCGAACCAAATCTTTTACCGCTTTCTTCGCGAAAGTACAAAGCAACCCTGCTTTGCAATAACGTCATGCCACTTGTGTGTCATATTATTCCTTTTTCTGTCCACACTATAGTTTGTGGCGTCGGTGACCTAGTGGTTAGGCTCTCGGACTCGCAACCGTAAGGTCGTGGGTTCGAATCCCGTCAAGGGCCCGACGTTGTGTCCTTGGGAAAGGCACTTTACACGAAGTTCCTCACTTCACCCAGGAGGGAATGGGTACCCGGCTATAGACGGCGAAAGATCTTGTCAGTTTGTTAGTGTTTGAGCGCTTAATCGGCTGCTTGCACTGTATGCTTCCTGGGAAGCTGAGAATGTTTCGGAGTGTTCTATGGTCTGCTGGGGTAATACTATAGTGTAAAGCGCATAGAGCCTGCTGTTGAGCGGGGATATGCGATATACAAATACTATATATTATTATTATTATTATTATTATTATTATTATTATTATTATTATTATTATTATTATTATTATTATTATTATTATTATTATTATAGTGCGGTCAAAAATTCGTGGGGCAACTTATCCTCAAATATCTCTTTAACGGGTGAATCAATGTTATCCATATTTTGCATAGCAGTTTGTTTCAATTTGTATTAACTAGATCTATATCATATTTTTCAAGAACAATTGGGGTTAGATTAAAAAACCTTTCTTCATAAATTTACATAGAATACTTGAAATCTTTGTCCCGCGTAAAATTATCTTGTTCACAGCACTTCCTTCTTCTCACACACATTTTGATTACGCATATGGCCCACGCCACAGCTCATCAATGACAATTTTTACTTGCAAAACTTGTTACAAGAAATTATTGTTATAGTGAACACTTTTGTGCACAAATGGCTCTCAAAACATGCGTTCAATAACCAAAATGACCCGATTAGAAAAACCTGACGGACTTGCTATTAAAAGCTATATTGCTCCAGATGTAAACATTTAAAAATCTATAGAAGCCACCCACTTGGATTTTTTTCTATTAGTATTTATTAAGGAATTTTCTAGAATACAGCATGAAAGTGTTTACAAAAACATTGATCTGTTAAGACACATTGATAAAAGTCATTGTGCAAAAATTGGAGAACCTATGTTTGATAGTTGAGGAGATATTTGAAAATAAGTCTCACGACGAAATTTTGACTGCACTATAGTAAGTAAACTGTTACTATTACCGAGAACATAAACGTTTGGAAACAGAATGAAGCCCAAATGGATTGGGTCTCTTCTGGGACCAACTTCATACTTGTGACATGGCTTACTTTATTACAAACCCCTCCCTGATTCAAAACACATTAACTAACTAAACATAATTGAACACTTTGAATTGCAAAGAAACAAAAGTTACATTTTTCTGGAAAAAACTCACTGCAATTTGACAACACCACCATAAGTATCCCAACAAAACATAATTTGTATCACTGAACACTTTGAACTGGGTACAGGCCTGTAGAAATTAAATCTCTGAATGATATGGATGCATCTCATCTTTGTGCCTTGTATAGTTAAAGTCAGGTCTACAATCTTGTTTCTCTCGGTGTCGTTCCTGCATAATCAAGAACGCTCTTCAACACTTTTCTCAGATTCTGCAAAAGATGTTTGAGCTACAACTCCATTCGAGTTCCATAATGCTTCTGTGGGTGGTTGATGGGTAGTCTTCAACTTCAGTGCTCAATAAATAATTGTGCGCGGCCGTGCATTGTTATCCTCGGCAATCTCGAGCTCGATATTGGCAAGGAAGCATTTATTTCTTCAATCAAAGTAACATGAAATTGGCAAAGGTACCGCACGGTGCATGTCATTCAACCTCTTCGTGTTTTGAAATGTTGGCCACGAACGTAATTGGGTCCTGATAGTATAGATTAGGCAAATTGCAGGTGTCTTTCCCATTTATTCATTGTAACTGCCCTTCATTCAGTGGCAGCATTAGCCACTCACCATGTCATATTTCATTATTCTTTTAAAGACCATTGTTTATTGTCAAAGGTTTGTTTAGAAAGGCACAATGACGTGAGTGCGAAGGAGAAAAACGGTATGTCTCCAACCTTTGTATAAATAATCGCTAACGCTCAAAAAGAAATCATTGTCCAAAGGAGCTCTCCGGCAGTTCTATGCCGTGGTGAGATGGCTTTTTGATCAAGGCCTAAATCTATCACTTCAATAGGTCTCGCAAGTAGTTCATCGACTGGTGTTTTCCCCTTCAGTTCAGTTTTGCCCTTCATTTAACTTTCATAGACAGAAAAGAGCGGAGTTAATGGCATGGCAGTGCACGATCTAGGATATTGTAGGTAAAGTGCATTCTTTACATACAATAACATTGCAAGCCTCAGTTGAAAAATACCATTGGTCAGGATGATTCACATCACAGAAACAATATAGTGAACATTTGATTTTTTTTTACTTGCTTTTTAGGCGTGAGGGTCTTTAAAATATTTATACGATCAGGCCAAATCAGGCTCCTATTTGAGGGCTGAAACGGAAAACTTTTGTAGTACTTCCTTTTTGCTTTTGGAGCAAAGCAGGCAATTTCTAGAGGCAACAGCTTTGAAAATGAAATAAAAGCAGCAGAAATATCTCGCATGAGGCTGTGGAGAATCTCTTGGAAGAAAAAGAAATCAAATGAGGTAGTGCTCGCTGATTCTGGGACACCCGAATAAACAAACTCACTGGCAAACGAGGCAGGGCTAGACACAGGTAAACTAATTTGGAAAGCCTAAAAAGATGGGTATCGGGGAAAGATCAGGATAAAAACTGCTTTTTTTGAGAGCATCGATATATGAACACTCGATATTTGGTTGCTAATAAGCCACAAAATACACAGAGTTCAGAACCGCTGCTTCCATGTCCAGAATTGTTATCCTACAATCAACGAAAAAAAGGCTCTTCAAACAGTTAGAAGAACGATGGACTGGTAGTTCAGAATCGAAACAGCGATGAGAAAAGTGTTGATCATAAAGCTCATTCTTATTTCATAAGCTTAGTATCCTTCCCAGCTCTTTCTGCTGAAACAAAAAAAAACATTTTTAAAAAACACTCAGAAAAGAAAGCCGACAAACTTTCGAAGGCACTACTTTAAGCACTGAACACATGAATTTGTTAAGGTATGTGAACCAAAAATATGTAGATTCACTACCATTTGCGTCATCAGCAGAACATACCTGGCATTTCACCCAAAACACTTGACCATGAAATGATAATTTTAATAATATATTTACATTTATAAATACGGGCATGTTTATACATAAGTCAAGTTTTCATGAACCAATACTCTATGCTTGTGTGTTGTGTCCGTGTTGCAATCGTTAAGTAATGACGTATCCACAGACGCGTCGTCTGCCCCTTTGAACTTGTCTGTATCTGCTTGTTTCGTCTTCTGCGTATCGGCGTGAGGATCTGTGAGTAGTTTGGAGGATTCTGGCAGGCGAGATTCATCATCTGATTCGTCTGCCGACCACTCAGGTCTAACGTAAGCGTCGGGTTGTGTGGCCGGCAATGAGGTCACAGGACACAGGTTGCCGTAGTGCCGGTCATCAGGGAAGGAGGGCGTGGGATGACGCGAAACTCTGTCCCCTCTGTCTGAGGCCGCGGGGACAGGGAAGGTAGGATAGAGGGAGGGAGAAGAGGATAAGAGTGCGAGAAAGAGAAGAAGAAAAGATGGATGAAGGTTGAACGGGGAAGGAGGGGAAATAGTTCGAGGAGAAGGTGGAAAGGGAACGAAAAGATGATAAGAGAGGGGGCGTAGTAAGAAAGGAAAAAATGGGAGACAAAAAGTGAGATAGGGAAGGCAACAGAGAGTGATGAGAAGGAAGGGAGAAAAAGGACAGGAAAAAAAGGGGAGGAAGACAAAGACGAAAAGAGAAGATGATAGGGTGTGGGGGAAAGCAGTGATGGAAACAGAGGAAAGGAAATCGATTTTTAGAGAAAGAGCGAGAGAGAGCGCGCGAGAGAGAAAGGGAGAAAGGGAGAGAGAGAGAGAGAGAGAGAGAGAGAGAGAGAGAGAGAGAGAGAGAGGGCGGGGCAGAGAGAGAGAAAGAAAGAGAGAGAGAGAGTGAGAGAGAGAGAGAGAGAGAGAGAGAGAGAGAGAGAGTGAGAGAGAGAGACGTGGGAAAGTTCAGGACAAGAAATGAAGGAAGTGATGGGGGGCGAGGATAAGAAGTGAGGGGTGGGGATAGGAGGGCGGGGAGAGGCAGGGAGAATGACATAGAGAGAGTTGGAAACGAGGTAGAGATATTTTTAAGGAGGGGGGGGGGGGGAGAGATATGGAGAGGGGATCAGGATAAATCGGAGAAACATACGTGAGTTCGTAAAATGGAAAATAAACACGTCCACTTCTACAAATCAAACAATCAATGACAGTCAATTTTTATGATAGTAAGGGCAAATAAAGTTGTTTTTTTTCTAACCCAACTTTGCTAAGAAGGGTGTATGCTTGAGCATTGTTATTCTTAAAATCTCAATAAAATACGCAGTCCGGGTTGGTGGGACACCTAAAAATTGTGTTCTTGGGTGAAATTATGAAAACTGGGATTATCACTTATTATATTCCCTAGATATTTCCTGAATAATGTCCTTAAGTGATGTTTGAAGGGATTTTAGAGCAGAGGGTAGGAACTTTTCAAAAGAAAATAATTGCCACTTTATGTCTCCAAAAGCATGTTTTGCACCGCTTATATGCTTTTGTTTTAGGAGAAAGCCTCCATTCTACTTCTGCTGAGTTAATGTTACCATGCAGTTGTCATGTTTTAGTTTGAAATATGTTTCGCAGGTTTTTACTGGAAAGAACTATTCTGGCCTTTTCTTGCCGTTTCTTTAAAATGCTATTTTTAACGCACACCATCCCATTTTTCTGCTTTGTTTCTAATTCAATTTTAAAGTAACTTTCACAGAATGTTAATGACAGCTAGTTCTATACATTGTGTGGGGAATTTTTGATTCCATTTGGAATTTTTCAGAAATGGCCCCCAAAAGCTTGATTTTTCGGGGTTTTTGTTACAGTTATGCAATAAGCAGATTTGTAAAAGGGGAGGGGGCTGGTTTAGGAGTTGATGATTTGGGTCAACTTATGGTATCTAAATTTTTAAAGCATTATAATACTATAACCACTTTTAAATCTTAAAAAGTCATACTCTTCGTGTTACAATCAACATCTTTCATGTTTTCTGTCCTTGACAGTTCATTTTGCCTATTATGTAACCAAATGTCGATTTTCATTGTAACCGTAGATTCCAACAAAAAAATCAAAGTTACATTTTAGAGCTGTTTTCCTCTTATACCTCCCTGCTATGAGGCTTTATCTGAAAGGTCATAGTTACCGAGATATGTCTCTAAACCACCCCCCTCTCCCTTTTTCAGGTCATGAAATGAACACTAAAGAATAATCAAAACAAAAATTCCTCTAAACAATTTTTATATCTGTACTATTCCCAAGTACATGCCAAATTAAAAGTGTATTTGTTGAAAAACAAGAGAATAAAATGGGATCAAAATAGTTATGCCAAATCCAATATTGCCGCCGTTTGCATGACAACCGAACCAGATTTACTATTTTTTTTTAAAGATTTTAAATTCCCAATGATACACGATGTCCCACAGCAAATATGAGCTCTTTAGGGTTTGTAATAGCCGAGATAGCTTTCAGGTGCCCTACCACCCCTTCATAAACAAAACAGCATGAAATAAATACTATCATATACATCTTGATTTTAAAATTCTGTGAATATTGACTTAAAGCTAAAATGAATAACCGGGGTTTTTTTCAGAATAAAGCGGAATTTCCTGAAAATTAGACTTTAAAGCATATGCACTATTCTACGAGTAAAATCAACCTTCCCTTTTCCAATGAAACTGTTTTCATATCTGCGCGATAAAAAAAAAGTCATTTTTCAAATTTTCGCACAGTGTCATGGAATGGGTTTGAAGCTTATTCTAAATTTTTTAGATACGGTGGGTGGAGATACCCTGCTCTGAACTCCACCGGTATGCCAAAATGAGATACCAGCTAGCCTAACCTTGTAATCTGGAAGGGTTTCCGAAAAGTGAGGTGAAAACGGATGAAACATTTTGTAATACAAATAATACTTATTATATATGATGTAGATGTAGTATCATCATTCAGCTTATGCTGAGCATAATATTTCAATAAAGATCGGTACATAATTTCCTGCTGTTCATCTCAGAACATATCCACCCTCTGAAAACAAAGGGAATTTTATCAACATCGAACAGCTGAGGTAAGATCGTTATCTTTTTTACTACATGTAATATTGTTTCAGGGACCAAAAAAACCCAGATGCAGTAAAGTATGTGACACTTTTACATCCTTTTATTCTACGAAGGCAGAGATCATCGGGCAGAGGAAGCCGACTTACTTAGGTCACACAAGGGTGTGAAAAAGGAGCAAAAAGGAATAATGCTCTACACCCACAGGGAAAAAAGAATTCTCTTTGAGCAAGGTTTAATCTCTATGATTAAAAAGGCATCTCTTGCATTTATAATAACAGAAGCTTGACTATGGGAAATTATCAGGAAAAAGAATAAGATATAAGACTGAAAATATGTTCCTCACCACTAGCAGCATTGTGTGTGAAGTAGTGCTCGTCTGCTAACTCAAGATACTCCTGAAACAAAGCATAAAACAAGTTGCTACCACGTAAGCGGAGCAAAAGAAGTGTTGAGCAGCTTTAGAGTAACTCATTTTCAGCTTGCAATGAATTTACCGAAGCACATCTTCTTTGCGTTACCCAGTTATATCTCAGGGATAGTAGACTATTAGTTCTTCAACTTGCATTGCGAATGATTTTTTACGTTTGTAACCGTTTTTCTTATCTAATAAGGCCCTTTGTCTTCAGGCATCTAAATTCCAATTTCGAAGGTACTCTAGGTGTCTTTATATTGACAAGAGTAAATTTCAGTTTTGGTAGGAATGAATTTGCCTGAATGATGGCCAAAGCATACTCTTGCCGATTAGGACCACCGTTAAACATCTTTAACGTGCGCAACTAGCACGCGGGACGTCTGAGATTTTTCGGCTCTTGTCCGAGAAGGCTAGGGGTTTGATCTTATCTACCAATAAATAGGGGATGTGGCTGAAAGACGGAAGTAAGAAGGAGCCAGGAGTAGAAGTAGAAAGAGTCGGTATTAAAAAAAAAGAGAACCTCAGAGGAGGTTGGGAAGGGGGGGGGGGGAGAGAAAGTGAAGATGAAAGCAGGTGAAAGTACCACACGAGAGAACAGGAAAGAATGTGAAAGGAGGCAATTTTAGAGAAGAACACGGTTTTTTCGTGATTTCGGGCTTTGATCCCTGGACCGTTTGAATGAGAGGCGAACAGCGTACCACGGGAACCCCCGAAGACCATTCTAATAATTCCAAAACAATTCATTAGCACCAAACGGGGACGTTCCAGCTAAAAGTAAGGAAAATGTGGGTTGAAAATAAAACCTTGAAAATTGTCTAGCCTTAGCTTCATAGAAAGTAACATTATATTCATAACCAATATACGTGGAGTTGTGTCAGACAGCCCTATTTCATGTTGACATTTAGGGTGATTCAATAATTTGAAATTTGCCCAGGATACTCATTTAAATTTAAAAATTGTTGTTTGCTCACTTTATAAAATACCTTTGTTTGTGTGGGCTTTTCAGATTATATTATTTATAGAACTTAATGTTGCCAGAAGGAGTGCCTCGGTAAATAAATTAGAAGGGAACAAAGTAAAAATAACTTGTATCTTAACGAAACTTAGTATTATATTGAACGAAAAGAAAATTGCACACAAGCCAAACTATTTGAGATGCCCTAACAAGATTGACTCAAAGTGTTTCCAGGTAGGTAGCGGGGACTGTAATTAGACCCATTGCAGTAATGTAGAAATGTATATGTGAAAACCAATATAGAAGTTCAACATGAACTCTTTCCTTTGAATGTATTACAATTTTATCTTTTCTCATTTTTTTTACATCCTTTGATGGCACAATGCAATTTTTTCTTTGCTGGTTTTTATTTTTGATTTTGCTTTCTTTTTCAGGGCAGACATGTTATTCTAATAGGCGGATCATAGACCATATATATATATATATATATATATATATATATATATATATATATATATATATATATATATATATGTATATATAAAACATTTATATTTATATAAAAGTAAAAGAAGGTGAGATTTCGGGAAAATAGATAACACATGTATACATCAGCAGATTGCTATTCTTCAGACACAAACCCCCTGCAAATCTGATTTGAGCCCCCCCCCCCCCTCACACACACACACACTTATTAACCTTCCTTGTGCAAGGTTTAATGGGACTTGTTAATGTAAAAAAAATGTTTAAAGCGCCTTAAAGCCAAACTGAAATGAAATCGTGGCTTACTGTGTTCTGTTGTAGCAGGCTGTCCAATATGTCTGTCAGCATGAAGAAACTGGGTCTGTGCTCTGGCTCTGTCTTCCAGCATTTTTGCATTATTGCATATCTGAGGACAGGAAAAGAATACATAGAGGGAGAGACAGAAGGGTGGGGGAGACAGACTTACAGACAGATAGACGGACAGACAGAAACACACATGCACACACATAAGTACGCACACACGCACACACCAATACACACACACACACACACACACACACACACACTCACATACACACGCACACACTTGCACACGCACACGCACGCACGCACACATGCATGCAGACACGCACGCACGCACACACGCACACAAACATGCACTCACACACACACACACACACACACACACACACACACACACACACACACACACACACTCACACACACACACACAAACACATACAGACAAACGGACTGACAGTCAGACAGACATACACACAAACATACATACATCATACATACATACATACATACATACATACATACATACATACATACATACATACATACATACATACATACATACATACATACATACATACATACGTACCTCGTACGTACGTATATACGTACATACGTACATACATACATACATACATACATACATACATACATACATACATACATACATACATACATACATACATACATACATACATACATACATACTTACATACACATACATACATACATACATACATACATACATACATACATACATACATACATACATACATACATACATACATACATACATACATACATACATACATACATACATACATACATACATACATACTTACATACATACATACATACATACATACATACATACATACATACATACATACATACATACATACATACATACATACATACATACATACATACATACATACATACATACATACATACATAGAGAGAGAGAGAGAGAGAGAGAGAGAGAGAGAGAGAGAGAGAGAGAGACAGACAGACAGAGAGACAGACAGACAGACAGACAGACAGACAGACAGACAGACAGACAGACAGACAGACAGACAGACAGACAGAGACAGAGACAGAGACAGACAGACAGACAGACAGACAGACAGACAGACAGACAGACAGACAGACAGACAGATAGATATAGATTTATATATTTATTGAAAGAAAGAGACAGACAGAGACAGGGACAGACTGACAGAAAGATAAATAATAATTTAATATCAACTTGTGAATATGACCATGGTAATGTTTTGTTAAGATCATTAAAGATTCATTCATTCAATCATTCATTTATTCAGCTGAGCGGAATGTGATTTTCGAGAGAACCTACAATTCCTCCGGACAGTCGTCTGGCCTGTCCATTCTGTATCCTGTGCTCAGCAGGGGGAACAACCTCTCCGGAGGAATGCCAGGGTACGGGGATGCACCTAGGTGGTGATGAAGAACGGTAAACATCATTATTAAGGATCACACCCTATCAATGTCAGCAGGTCGTTAAACTGTAACAAAGAATGCATATAGTAAAATACTAGTACCTGTTCCCAGGTAACAATGGCGTCAATTGTCGTTGTTCCTCGGTGCTACCGATTTATCCTACTTGTGAAACCCACACTCTTTTCAACTTTGCAATTTAACTCGTAAGATTGCTCATGAGGTAGCACCATAACTCATGGAATAATTGTTTCCAACATTCGCTGCAGAGTAGTTGGACATGGAATGGAAGTTGTTAGGGGACCATAGCCTACAGTCCCCTCGCGCTACCCACTGGGCTGCTTTCTCGGGACTGTGCATTACAGTCCCCTAGCGCTGCTTTGTGCACTGGGGGACTGCAAAGAAACACACACACACACACACACACACACACACACACACACACACACACACACACATACACCCTAGCAGTCGGCGATGAAACCAGCCTTGCGACACCTAGTGACGTCGGCATGGCGTGGGACAAAGGCCCAAAGAGGGATTGCAATACCTGAGAAGTAGATAATCTTTGTAAATACTAATAACAGGCATAGATCTACTATTAGATCTAGATCTAAACTAGATCTAGGCCTAGATATTATAGACACAGACTGCAATTTTTTAAACTGAAGAAGAGTAGACCTACCATGTAGTGCAGTCTATAGTCTATGTCTTAAGGCCTACTAAATCTAGATCTAGAATCAACAAACCTGTCGACATAAATGATAAATTCGCCTTAAATAAAGAGTGTTTGACTCTAGGCCTAGAGATTCTCCCACCATACGAATTAACTTAACTAGATTTAGATCTGCATCTGTAGGATCTAGATCTACCATGTAAGAATTAACCATCTATGTCAATTCTACTAGATCACTAAAACCTTTCGACATTCGCCTTCCAGAAAAAGCAACTGTGGGCGGCTCTACCATACTCATTAACTCTTTTAAACAGAACATCGTAACTGCCAAAAACATCGCCAACAGTCAAATCAGACGTCATGTTGTCAATTTGTCATAGTAGGAAATTTAAAGTTGTTGATGTCAGATGATGGCTTGTTGACATGGATCCAAAAGTCAAAGGTTGTTGGTTTTTTGTTGTTGTTTTTTTTCAGTCCCCCAGTACACAAAGCAGCGCTAGGGGACTGCACAGTCCCCCCCCCCCCCCCCAGTGTGTAGCGCTAGTCCCCTAACAACTTCTTTCTGAAATACAACACTATGTCCCTTGTCATTCTGCTTGCCTGAACTGATTTGGTTCCAAGCCAGGATTCTGTGTCTATTCCCATCTTCTGTTTGAGCTGTATTTTCCTTTTTTGCTCTCTAACTTTGCTATCAGAATATGTGCCTCAAGTTAATCATATTCTTTCACGCGCACTCCTGTTCACATTTACACTCACAGAAACTTTATAACAAACGCGCACATGCACCCACTTTGAGACACATTCTGCCGATATCTATAACATGTACCTTCTTGAAGGGCCTGAGAAATAAATCTCTGAGCATCGGTAAAGATTGTTCAGAAAATTCATTCGGAACGAAGGCTGTTAAATATCAAATCAACACACATTCGAACAATTAGGTGAAATCGAAGAACTAACACACAAAAAATACAACATAATAATATTATGTAGAATAGATAGCTAACTAGTTAGCTAAATAGGTTATTGAAAGATTGATAGGTCAGATGTCGGTTTTAAACTTACATCCTTAAAACTAGATTGTAGGACAAAGCTATATACGTATAAATGTGATGAGGAACTTCTTTATAATTGACACACAAAATGACGTATCTCCAGAATAGAAATCAGCAACAAGAATTGAATGCAGTTGAGATCTACTGTGTAAAGAGAAACATGTGATCATGACCTTACCTAGAGTGACTACCTCCCATAAGACGACCCCGTAGGACCATCTTAGCAGCATAAAGAGAAAACATATAGAATATGAAGGCATGCATGTTGATTATGGTTAAATTGATAGAACTGGGAAAGCAATGTGGTTAGTAAGAAGCTATCTTATTGGCCACAGTGATGAGGATTTTCTGTTCCTTTGATTCGGCTCTAGCTGGCTTTTTTTCCATCATGGGCACTGTGTACCCGAAAGGCTATTAACTCAATGTTTGTCATAGACATAATTTATTTGCAGAGATGACCACGTGAAAACAGCGTGTTAGCGTTTAACTGACTGACGTGAGAATTTAAAAGGAAATCTAGGGGGGGGGGGGCACAAAAACGTTGCTGTGGATTAGACAGCATATAAGGCTCGTACCACAACAACCTTAAGCGACACACGTTTTTAGAGGTATATAAAGAAATGGATCTCAAAACAAGAAATCGTGTCTAAAAATCAAGATCATTTCCAACGTGAACACAGGAAAAAAGTTTTAAGATGATGTACCTTGCCTTGGTTTTCTGGAAAGCAGAAATAAATGCAAGTTCTGTGGTGGATTGAAAAGTTACCGTACTGGGATTTCCATTGGTAAAAAAAATGCACACTCTGGTTTAACATGATACTGACGTAAACAGAAGCTTTTACACCAAATTTAATCGATCTTTATATATTTATATATATAATATGTATTATAAGTAAGTGGCTGTGTTTCCTTTATTATAAAGCAATATTTTCTCTTTCCTTTTTTCTTTTTGTTAAAATGATTTATTGAGTCTAAAAATTGGATTGATTAAAATGTGATTCGTCTGCATTTTAAGGTACAAAAAGGTTTTTTTCTCCCTCTCTGTCTCGTTATGGCTCCCTGCATGTGCGCAAGTTTTCAGTTATTGGTGTTTTCCAATTACAATGGGTTTAAAAGTGAGTTTTGTAAACCAAACAAAAGATAGAATAAAAATTAAAGGAAATGATTATGTTCCAGCACTGTAAAGTAAATAACAATGTGTTTATTTTCAACCTCAGGTGGTCGCACACGAAAAAAGTAACTCGTGCCGGAGAAAAGTACACTTTTACATCAACCTATAAATCAAATTACGTGAAAAATATTGCACGAAAGTACAAACAGGATTGTCAGAATGCAGGGAAATTCAAACAGAATACGCCAAAATCATCACACGATATTTCAAAAAGGAAAAACAGAACATTTTAGATTGGACTCAAGTGCTGTACATACGTGACAAGATATTATTTTATGGTTTACAAGTGCTCAATGTGGCCACCACCGGCAGCACGGACAACATTAAGCACATATGAGTACTCTTCCAAAACGCCCTTCAGAATGAATGCCTCAAGCCACGGGTAGATTGTAGCTGTTATTATTCGAGCCTCCATACTATCGATATTTGCTGGACGTGGTGGAACATAAACTTTGTATTTACCATACCACCACCAAAAAAAATTCACTCAACGTTAGTTCCGGTGATCTGACAGACCATCAGCAGAGTGCAGGTCTTTAGCACCTGTCTTACCAATCCACCGCTGAGGCATGTTTTCATTCAAATAAGCTCGAAGCCCGATAAGCCAATGACGCGGTGCTCCATCTTGTTGAAAAACGAAGTCATACGATGCAATCAGTAAAGTGAATGGCCACTTCTTGTGGGGGTATGTTAAAGACATAGTTTATGTTCCACCGCATCTAACAAATATCAGTAACATGAAAAATGGAATAATAGCTACAGTCAACACAGTGGACTCAAGACAACCTGGGGTGTGTTTTGGAAGAATTCTCATTAAGGCTTAATATTTTCTTTGGCGCCAGGGGTGGCCACATTGAGCACTTTCAAGACATGAAATAAAAACTTGAATGTATGTACAACACATGTGTCCAAGCTGGAGTTTTCTATTGATTTTCTTTTTTTTTAAATATCGTGTTAAGATTTTGGCGTATTTTCTAGTCACCCTGTATATTCGAAATCTCAAGTCTCAAAGTAAACGGAATCAAAAGTAATTTCACCAAAAAACTATGTATTTTTGTACTGAAAACTAGTAGATGTATCTGAAGAAAAGAAGTCAGCTCTAAAAATTGAATCATTGAATCCAGTTTTTGAAAACTAGCCATTGATACATGATAAATGTTGTCGATTGCTTTTGACAACGATTCAATGTCAAGAAGATAAGGCAAATATGAATTTTAAAAAGAACCTTCATCGATGTCAGACCGCAGGCATGACGGCCACATAAGTCTATAGTTTAGGGAACTGTTAAAAAGGTTGACAAAACCACCCGAAATGACCGTCGCCCAAACTGATGATGAAGTCACAAGCATCGTTTTGGTTTTATGGCCCATGTCAAAGCATCTTACTAGCTGACATTTTAAGCATGTTAAAAGTAACTGCAAAATGTGTTTGCTACCTGAGCAGCAAACTGCCAAACACAGTACCGGGTGTGTGGAGCTGCGTTGTGTCGATATCAATCTGACCAAAACTTCGCTTACAGAATAATCATTGGCAATGAAACGTCGCTATTACTGCTACGACCCAGAAACAAAGCAACAGTCAACACAATGGAAATAGCCCGATTTTCCAAGTCAAAAAAGTTGACCAGATGAGAAACAATTTGAAGTGCCTGTTCAAAGTTTTTTTTCTACGATTGGCAGGGCATTGCTCTTAAAGAACCTGAAGACTAACAACCAATCAGTGATATTAGTAACTATTATAATATGCAAGTGTTGATGCAGCTGAAGGAGACAACCGGAATCTTGGCCTTCACATTATTGGCTTTTAAATATACAATGGACCGGCACATAGATTCTATCCCGATTTTAGTCCAACAACATTTCATCTCTTGGAACGTAGTTGATGCCTTATCCGTCACACTCACTAAATGTATTTTTTTTCCTTGCTTCAAAAGCAGAAATTGCACCTGAAAGCCGCCGATTGAAAGACGTTGTGATACAATTTGGGTCTCTGAAAGGACTCGGGGCTGTTATAAAATAAGAACTACAGTCAAGCTTCCAATGCCTGCAGACACGTTGGAATACTGCATGCACGCAGTGGGAGACTATTTTGAAGGGTGCAATGAGAAATAAATACGACGATAAATGGTTTCCATTTTATCAGTATCAGTCAGGTTACTTTTTGATCCAACCCCGAATAAAGGTTGTTGATGAAATGGTTGGGCACAAACGATTGATGGGTATCAAAAAGGCCAGCAAAAGCACTACAAAATAATATATGATCTCATTGGAAATAGTTGCAACAGATATAACGGGGCATTGGAAAAGAGTTAATGAAATTAAGGGCTCGAACAGAAGGATTTGCATTGAATAAGCAAGCAGACGCTAAGAAGCAATTATTAGTGAGAATTTTACACCACTTGCAACACAATAAGGTCAAATAAGTGCCAAAGATTAGAGGCGTTAAAAGATATTTACACAAAAAAGAATAAGGAGAGATAAGGATGATGGAAGTTTCATTCAAAAGAAGGAGCAAACCATACCAGAGCACCGGCAGAGCATTAGAGGCATTATGGCGAAATCAGGCCCATGTCAAATAATGAAAACGAAGTAATTGGCGATTTCAGCTGGTTTTGGCAATTTTTAGAGAAATGTTGGTTGTTTGACTCAACGATTTCTATGTATAATATGAAAACATATCTGTTTGTAGATTTTACTGCAAAACGTCGAAAAAAGGAGCAAAGTATGTAAATTTTTAGTTTCTTATGACACTCAAGCTATGGAGGTCACCAAACTTTGGCGGCCACTTTCTCGTAAAATTTATTTTTGAAACCAGGCGACTCCCATCTCCTTCAGTCACAAATATATCGATTTTTATTCAGGATAGAAGGATGTATTTTCCATCAAACGCAAGCATGAGAACACGCTTTAATTTAAAGTTTAACGGTTATACCAATAACCCCATATGCCCAATGATACCAATAACTTCATATATACTCAAAATTTGACAAGTGCCTGATTTTACCATGTCGTGACACTCCATTTAGCTTGAAAGATGTTTTATTCAAAGACTTTAAATCAAAAGCTTTATTATAAAGTTTAAAAAAGCATTTAGATCCATTTGTTGTGAGACAACGTTGTGCCTATCAATGTCTCGTCAGTGAAACGTACTAAAACACACGATGCAACGCGCTTGCGCCAGGCTCTTTTGCTCTTCATCTGGATGTAATGGAGTAGTCAGTGGGGAGCATGCTAGGCAGGAATGTCTTGATAGCAAGCAGACAGTGGTAACCATGGCACTCCATAGTCGTTGATATTATAGTTTTAAGTCTGCATAGAGAATCAATTAGCAAGAACAGTTAGACATGCATGAAAAGAATGAGTGACGAAGACAAGGATACAGAGAGAAAGAAACAAACAGAAAAACGGACGGACTTAATCACATACACAGAGGAAGAGTCAGAGAAAGAGGATACAGACAGACAGACAGTAAGAGACAGAGAGAAACAGAGAGAGAGATAGAGAGAGACAGAGAGAGAGAGAGAGACACACAGAGAGAGAGAGAGAGAGAGAGAGAGAGAGAGAGAGAGAGAGAGAGAGAGAGAGAGAGAGAGAGAGAGAGAGAGAGAGAGAGAGAGGGAGGGGCAGAAACTGAGACATAAACAGAAATATAGAGAGTGTGTGAGATGCGAGAAAGGAAAAAAAAAGGGGGGGGGGGGGGGGGCTCTGTAGGGATAAAGGGGGCAGAAAGAAGTATAACAAAAGAAACACAAACAAGATTTCAAAACTTTTGAAGCTGAAAAATAGACTCACATATCGCTCTTGGTAGTGTAAATCTGAGCGTACAGGGATTCAGGAGCCATCCATTTGACCGGAATCCGACCCTTTGGAGAAGAAAATAGTTAATCTATTTATTAATATTCTGTATGATCTTTGTGTCACTATTTAGAAGAAACCATACACTCTTCTGACTTTAAAAATCAAATCAAAGTAGCAATAAATATTCATAAGAGCGGAATGTTCATGATTTTGATCTCAAGAATAATAAGTGGCGCCCAAAAGAAATTTGAAACCCAATTATCGTGTTAAAGCCTTGCACTAACCACTCATGCAGCTTACCAATATAAAGCTAAATAAATTCAATACATGTCCATTCCATCAATGTTGATGTACCTCAATACACGTGCGAACACACTTTTACACTTCTTTGATTTCGCACAATTTTGCCTAGCCTGCTTTTCAAAGGTCAGTTTTGAGCGACCATATCTCGGGTCACTCTTAATATAAATGAAATAGTAGATTTGAGCTAGCTTTAAATTGGTATGCTGCACTAGTGGGTAGTCCAAGGCTTTAACAAGGTGATTGGGTAATTATATTTTCCAGCTTCTTTTGGACGTCACTGTATATTGCATTATTCGATTACTGTGTCATTACGTACCCCAGAATTGAGTCATTGCTTTCAATTTCACTTTTTTAATGTGAGTTTCCGCTGTTAAACAAAAACTGAAAAGCTAAAAGCAAAAGCAGTGGAAAGTCCTCAAAGTAGTCTTTTTATATTTTTTATTTCTTTCTTAGTTTCTTTCTTTCTTTCTTTTAAATGGTTTTTTCGGGGGGAGGGAGCGGGGACTTTGAATTGGTGAATTGTTAGCGTTTGTCCGCACCAATAGCAGTAGCTGCACAGTAGCTGAGCCGAGCCGCCAGTAGCAGTTCTAGCAGTAGGCTCGAGTGTCCGCACCAAAAGATGTTTTGGCTAGCTGTCCAGTAGCAGTCCCCTCGCTGGCTGCTCGTGAACTGCTCAGTATCAGCTTGCATGTTCTCACCAAAAGCAGTATAAAAGCAGTGTGTACTGGCTACCTGTGCTAGCTCGCTGCTTGTATCGGACGCAGTTCACAATATGGCGGTCCGTAAAATATGTTTGATGCATTTGATTAACACTTCATCACTATTGACACAGTCTCGAGTATTTGGTGGCGAGAAAGGAAACTGGGTTCATCCCATTACTGCCGAATGAGACACATGCGGAGAATTTCATCACATGTTTCTTGACCTAAAGGCAGACGAAGAGCGCTTTAAGTCATAGTTTAGAATCAGCCCAGAAACATTCTTTACAAATTTGGACCACGTGTGTTTTGTTTCTGTTTTGTTGTACAGGCTTTCAAGAGGAGAATGTATAGAAGCTGTCCCCAGCTGTCTTGAGTTGATCGTGATAGCTTGGCGAGGTTTGGCGGGAAATTTCGGGTGTGCTAATATTAGAAATGGCGAAATCACTGCTAGCTTTGAGCGGTAGTAAAAGTGGGGATATATTTTACTGCTGACTGCTAGCAGTGCACTGCTCAATACGGCGCGGCTACTGCTTTTTGGTGCAAACGGCGTATAAATAACATTACTAAGATTTAAAACGGCTCAGCTACTACGCAGCTACTGCTCAGCTCAATTGCTTTTGGTGCGTACGAACACTTAGGCTCACAATAATGCCAAGCAGAAATCTATGTCGGTGACACGGAGGGTTTTGTTGTTGTTGCTTTTTTTTGTGTTTGTGGGTGGCAGGGCGATGGGTTTTTTGTGTTCTGCCCTTTTTGATTTTGATTAAGTTTTAAATTCGCTATTTAAGTTATCTAGTGACGTATACATTTTTGAGTACCAATGCAGTCTCGCCCCTTTTAACATTTTTGCTCTCGACCTGAATTCCTGGATTCCTTTTTAAAATTGCGAAAATAGCGAATCAAGTACGGTAGGGCACGGAAAAACGGTACCCAGACAGATATTATGTACTAGCCACTAGGATGTGTCCTTGTGCGTCAGGCGGTACCGGTACCCCAGGCAATTGTGTATGGATTGCCTATGTTTCAAAGATGGAGTGATAGTCAATTCGTAGCAATTCTAATGGTGGCCAAAAGCACAACGTGAACCAAACTCAAGCATTTGGGAATCTGTCCATACAGTCAACCCTCTCAGTTCTTGGCATGTTTGTCTTTTTATTTCATTGTTTTTTCAGAGCTCGTCCAGATAGGCCTGCCCCTCCCCCTTTTTTCACAACACCACCTTAAGCTCCAATCCATCCTCACGACCGAGACTTGATCAATTAGTTGATGTCAGTTTATATGTCTCTCACTCTCTCTCTCTCTCTCTTTATCTCTTCCCCATCTCCCTCCCTCTCCCCCCCCTCTCTCTCTCTCTCTCTCTCTCTCTCTCTCTCTCTCTCTCTCTCTCCCTCGCTCTCTCTCTCCCTCTCTCTGTCTCTGCCTTTCACTCTCTCCCTAGTTCTTTCTTTCCCTCTCTCTTTCTAGCCGGATCGCATTTCATGCTGGAGTGATTTCCCCGAGATATTGCATGTATCTCACGCTCTGGACTGGGAAGGTGAGCAAAGAACTGACAACCAATAAGCCACACAGCGGCTCACGGCAATAGCGTCTTGACCTGGGGCTCTTGCAAAAATGAACCAAAATAAAAACCAGGAGAGCAAATTAGTCCTTCTTTGAACTACATTTAATTCATCAATTCGTAAGTGCAAAAAAGAAATTTTTTTCATCACAATCGAAACCAAAATTCGTAATTTCCTTCGCTCAAAAGGGACCCACGCTCAAATTTGCCAAAAGAAAGAGTCTCAAAAAGTCTCAACAATATCAAACAAAACGACCAGTTCAAGTTCATGAATGTCAATGGAACTGTGAGAAACGCGTGTGCCCACCATTCACGGCAAGGCAGTCAAGGCGCCGCTGGCACATAGAGTTGATCACACTCCCCTGGGGCAGTGCTACTGACTGAAGTGTCTTTAGGCAATTCCCAAAGGGGGGAACATTAGCATGTTCTTATGCACAGTAGAATTGTAAATGGGCTGGTTCATCAATGGCATGCTCATAAATGTGTTTTGAACTGCAACAGGGAAGTGCTGATTTTTCTTTCCTAATCCTTATTATCGTTACTTTTCCTCTACTTCTGTTGTATGTTTGTAACACTATTGTGACCCGCTATTTCCGGGGTGCCTGGATAGTCAAAGCAGACTTTGTGCTGTTAAAGCTAGAGAGGTGAGCAGAGTAAGCCTGATTCCCTGACTTCTCTGTGGACATCCACCCCTTGGCGCTCATATGACTTTATGCAGTTGCGAGTGCCGTTAAAACAACTAAAACTAAAAAAAACAAAAACAACTAAGAGTTGATCAGGCAGAAAGGCCTGGAGAATGTTGTACCATTCTTGTTGCAGCCATCGATGCAGCTGCTGTTGGTTGGCGGAAAAAGGGTGGTTCTCCCAACTCTCCAACCAAGCTAGGCCCATAATTTTTCAATAGGATTGAGGCCTAGACTGTTGACTGACCAAACCATGCGGGTAATCCACGCCTGCTGCACGAAGGCGTTGACGGCCCTGGACCTGTGCGGCGTGGCGTTGTCTTCCTGAAGGATAGCAGCAAGTCTAATCTGCTGCAACGCCGGGACGTCCAGAGGTCGAAGGATCTCCTGCAGATACTGCTGCCCTGTCTGCTTACCGTCGACATGGTAAAGGGGGTTATGTGATTCCTGCTGGTCCCCCCAACCATAATAGAGCCGCCTCCAAACGGGACCACTTATCGAACTGCATTTGCACCAAGCTGCTCCCGTGGACGCCTCCACATTGACATACGGGTTCGGCCATCACTGGGTGTCAGACAGAACCAAGATTCATCAGTGAACAAGACCTCTGTCGACTGGGCACGTGTCCACCTGTGGCACACAGTGCTCAAGATTTAATGGTTGGCTCGCTGGCTCTGGGTCAGCTTAGGTTTTCTGACTGGACGACGTGCACGAAGAATGACGCCATGAAGGCGATTACGTATTGCCTGCAAATAGATTGTAGGGTTGGTGGCAGCTCGAAGACGTCGCCTGATGACTCTGGCAGAGCCAGTAGAGTCTCGTATAGTAGGCCAATGACTATCAGTTGTTGTTACTGCACAGATCATTCCTTTCATCGACAGCTTGTCCTACATAATATTATGTGTGTGTGTGTGTGTTTGCGTGTGTGTGTGTGTGTGTGTGTGTGAAACTGAGCGGATTTCAAGTGATTCGTACCGTCACAATCGAACTAGGTTAGCCATTTGTTTAAAAATACATATAGTACTAGCTGGGCCCCCTTTCGATGAAAGGAATGATCGGTGCATTAACATCAACTGAAAGTCACAGGCCTACTATATTTACACTCTTGTACTGGAATGGAGCAATAAATCTTGAGAGATGCAAAAAATTAGAAGGTCTAGACTAATACTCCCCAAACAACGGTGCGCACATCGCACAATTAAAATAGTGCCCAGTATTGCGCGACAATGCGCGATAGTATCGAACGGAAGTACGACTTGAAATGAACAAACCTGGCGGATTTTCTAAAATTACAGAGACAGAAGGATCGGCCAACAAAAGCGATCGGCGAAATAAAGAAATGTAGCTCTTTGCAGTTTCAAAACTGAAAAAACGAAGGGCGTCATGATCTGGAGAATATTTTAAAGAATCTTTTGGCGAAAACCGCATGTCGATGGATGGCTCTCTCTCTCTCTCTCTCTCTCTCTCTCTCTCTCTCTCTCTCTCTCTCTCTCTCTCTCTCTCTCTCTCTCTCTCTCTCTCTCTCTCTCTCTATCTCTCTCTCTCTATCTCTCTCTCTGTGTCTCTCTCTGTCTCTCTCTCTCTCTCTTTCTTTCCCTCTCCCTCTCCCTCTCCATCTCTCTCTCTCTTTCTCTCTCTCACTCTCTTTCTCTCAGTCTCTATCTATCTATCTATCTATCTATCTATCTATCTATCTATCTATCTATCTATCTATCTATCTATCTATCTATCTATCTATCTATCTATCTATCTATCTATCTATCTATCTATCTCTCTCAAACACACACATACACACAGACACACACACACACATATATATATATATATATATATACAAAAACACAATCACATACATACATAGGCCCACCAAACAGCACCACCACCACAACCCCCCCCCCAAAAAAAAAAATTCAAAGTAAGGAATTTGTCGGGACTGTACTCTGAAAAGGAGGACCCAAGATGACCAAATAAACACTCCTGACAAAGACACACAACTAAAGCATGTCTAGACACACACTCTCATAGACACAAACATACATTCACGTTCACATACAAAGACACCCAGTGAAAGACAACACCACTGTTTGTCCAAACCTTGCTCATTTTGAGGTAGGTGTCCGCCTCGTACACGTCCCTGCTCAGACCGAAATCAGAAATTTTCATCTTCATGCCTTCCGTCACCAGGACATTGCGGGCTGCTAGATCACGGTGGACAATCTGAAAGTAGTCGAGTCCTTTCGCTTAGTATGGTTGTTGCAAATTAAATGATGTAGAGATGAGAGAGGACGGAGTAAAGACACTTAGGATAATAAATGGCAAAAGAGGCAAAGATAAACCACGAATAACTTACATACAGAATTGAGAACAAAGGAAAATACATGTTTAGTAGGGCATCTGAACAGAGAAATGAGTGACGAACCATGACTGTCGATGTCTGTTTTAGATCTAGAACTTGAAGAATGGTTGTTGTACACCTAAGTATACAACTTATGATGATCGATTATCATCAACGACCAGAATTATTGAGAACAAAAAAGTAAAGCAAAATTTAATTCCCCTTTTGCTTTTTTAGTTACTTTTGCTTATACGTACACGTTCAGGGCATTACTGGAGACAAATATATAACACAAAAATACAGGCACTAAAACTAAAGGAAAAGGGTATAATTGTAATGAATCATAGCACTGACAACCAAGTGGCCTTTCTTAAATGGTATGTTTTCTATTTTGCTGTATTCCAGTAGAATAGAGGATGACAAGCAGTTTTATGTATCATCTTGCTTTGTAGCTTTCTTAGAAATTTTTAAATGATATTAGGGACTTTTTCAAGATGGAACTTTTTGTTTCCCTTGTCAAAAATGTTAAAATACGATTGCTGTATATTTTCTGCCCAAATGTTTGTTTATCAATGTATGAAATTCCAAAATCGGTCTTGTCCAGTGTTGCACAATATATTACAAATAGAGAAAGTTAAAAACCCTGTAAGCTCAAGTTGGTTTTACCTTTTATTTTCAGAACCTGAAATTTTACAGAATGAGAGCACGTTTGCAATGTTTTGTGATATTTTAAAAATCAGTTTGAGGAACCTAGATTTATTTTTGCAGCATGTATATTTCACTCGTGTTGGATGCATGCGTGCGTGTGCGCTCGCGTGCTTGTATGTCATCGTGTGTGTGTGTGTGTGTGTGTGTGTGTGTGTGTGTGTGTGTGTGTGTGTATTTGTGTCTGTGTGAGGGATGTGTTTTTGTAAGTGTGTAAGTGCATGTTAGAGAAGGTGGCGTCGGTACCCTAATGGTTAGGCTACCGTACTCGTAATCCTGGGGTTCGAGCCTCAGCTAGGTCTGACGTTGTGTTCTTGGGAAAGGTACATTACATGAAATTCCCATTTGGCTAGGTCTTTTCGGAGATGAACGTTAAATTCGGAGACCCCGCCTCTTAAATAACTTAATAGTGTTAATAGAGGCATTAAACCCATACCATTTCACCATTTCACAATGTTAGAGTAAAATGTTTACATGTATGTACGTAGACGAGCGTGTATGTGTGTATGTGCGCATGTGTGTATGTGTAAGTGTCCGGGTTTTTTGTGATCACCTCTGCGACTGATTGCAATAATTTGTGGGGTTGAAATTTCTCCACACACGCGCACTTAATCAGTCCCTGTAGTAGGACTCTGACAGAAAGACAATGGTACGGAAAGAGATAGGATACCCAAACAATAAAAATGTCCAACCTTTAGTCCCGAGAGATAGTCCATGCCTTTGGAGATTTGCCAGGCAAATGAAAACAGGTCTCGAAAGGTCAAAATCCGGGTTTCATTTTTCTCAGAGATCATCGATGGGTCATTTCCGCTCCTCTGCTTGTCCTCCCAACTGCCCTTGTTCTTGAACTTCGACGCACGCAGAAAGCTGCGCAACGAACCAAGCTCGCAAAATTCTACTATAACGTAGAGAGGCCCTGAGATACAAAAGTGACAGAGCAAGTTAAAAGCCATTTTGCAGTGCGTGAACGTGAGGGTTTTCATGAAGTTGTCATAATGGTTGTGTGAAGTCTGAAGCAGACATTGGCCATCGCGGTTTCTATTTCATTTCTTCTCTCAAATGCTCTAAAAACAGGAAAATTGTCCCTGGCTTTCTCTATCACATATAATCTGTTAAGGTTCAGTTAATAAGTTGCTCTTGGCCCACTCCTAACTCATTTGATTTCTCATTTTACCTTGAGAATAAGCTGTTCAAAGCTTTTATTTCGATTCAATTACCCTGTATACTGCATCTTTCTTAGTTCATTTTATTCAGTGTACGTATGTGTTGATCGGCAATGCCTGGTTAACCCATTTATAACATTGAAATTGACAAACAATGAAAAAAGAGAGTAAAAACAAACATTTAATGCCATTTCTAGAAAGCTTGAGAACTTAATGGGGATACCTTTCAACGTGCAAACACCGAGAAGCTTGATCACGTTGGGATGATCTACTTCTTTGAGGAGCTGAAATTCGGACACCAGATCTTGATATTCTGCTCCAGATGCCTCCGCTGTCAAAAAGAAAAGAAAGAAAAAAAGCATACAAAACTTACCATCACCTACTGTTCCACCCATTGTTTGATTTAAAAAAGAAGAAGAAGAAGACTCGATATTGGGTTATGATGAAGGGAATGGGGGGGGGGGGTACTTTCTATTCCAAATGATACCACAAGATACTTTTACATGTAGATTAAAATCTTATAGTAACCGTTTGTTGTTGTTTTTTCTATCATTCAGTACAAAATAATACTAAGGATTTGACCCCTTCAATGCCATAGCTAAATAGGCCCTGTGCAGGGGGAAATCCTATGAACCAAGGCTGCTCGGGGGTGACCCCACTCTACCTCCCATAACTTTTTTAATTTATGAATATTTCCTCATGGATTTCTGCATGTACATTCTACATTGAGAACCACATTTCTATTTATATCATTTTGGGGGGACTTCATTGAGAGATAGATGGAGAAAAGACATAAACAACACACTTTCGAGTAATGATAAAGTGCTTTTTAAAAAAGGTAAATACATGATTTGTAAGTGTTTGCAAGTAAAGAGGAAGTGACAAGAGGCTTTTCTACCTTATACAACGTTCGTACAATCCACAATATATGCATGTGAGTCCATCTGTGTTTACTGCCAGTAAATTATTTTTGTGTGGTATCTAGATCTAAATGTATATATTATGTAGATCTAATCTTCTCTTCGAGATATAATCTGAATCTGTCGTTTTCAAATTTGGGGGGAGGGGGTGGAGGTAAACATAAAGCGAAGGTATCTCTATAATAACTACAAGATTTTAGCTGTAACGTCCTGTCTAATTGGTGTGGAGAGTGGTCCCATACAATTGAAACCAGGCCTCCTCAACGGTATAATACCTTCTCCTCCCCAGACTTCTCCTATATTTTTTTTGTACGCTGAGATATCCATTTGATGTGACTGTCGTGGTGTAACCATCCTCGTCTTAAAACCAGAACGAGCCAATCACAGCCCAATAACTGAATGCTTGAAGTTAATTGTTTTACCCAATGCTTGTTAACATTTTTTTCTAAACTTGACAGTTTCAAGCAGAATGGTTGATGTCCTTTATATTTATATACATGATGTCCACCTGATTGAATAATAAATCTTATTAAAATTAGTTGAAAGATAATAGAGTTGCTTTGTTTTAAGGGGGTCCTTTTTAAAAACTCTATTTCATCTCCATTTGTAACCCTCTGTCAAGTAAAATGGTGTGAACTGTGATGTGTGAATTTATTAGGATAGGCATTTCGGTTATAGGTTATCTATTTATTTATTTATTTATTTTTTACATTTATTTATCTATTATTTATTTATTTATTTATTCATTCGTTAATTCATTCATTCATTCATTCATTCATTCTTTCGTTCATTCATTCATTCACTTATTTTTGGCGTTCATGCATAACTCTTATCAACTAAAAGCACGATTCTGCTCATTATTTTTCTTTAGCTTGAATAATAAAGGCACGAAACCTTTCGTGTGAGCAAGAGATAACGTCATTTTCACTGAGGAATAACGACCGGGGAGGAGCGACTAGTATTTTACTGCATTTCTTTGTTACACTTGAACTTGGTGTAACTTGATGTACTTCCTTACGGTATCGAATACAGTCAACTAGATACGTAACATTTATTCATTTACGATTTAGTTTTCAGATTGTTGATTTTCTCATCACGAAATCTTAAATTCCGTCTTGATTAAATTGATTGCAAAACAACACCAGTTCTTCGACGTCCCCTCATAAAACTGTATTACTGTAATCCCTGGACTTATTTATCTAAATAAAGAGCAGAACAGTGTATTTCTACCAAGTCGCCATACTGTTCACTGCAATGTGACTATACAATGTACGTGACTGTGCAGTATGTAGAAGTTTGGAAACATTGACGTCAGATGCACAGCTCAGTGAGTGACCTCGATATGGGCATTCAATTCAAAATTAACAATTAAAAAAACAAAGCTTGCTAAAGTTTAAATATGGCAGCAAATTAGGTCAATCAAGAACACCTTTGTTTATTCTTATACGCAGATTCAGAAAAATGAAATCAGTTTTTAGCTGTGATTATAATCCCTAAAATTCTGCACGCAAAGTTTAATCAAACAGAGTGGCAAACGTCTAAGGTATTCTGCGCCCCAGCTCGCGTCTCCGAATTCTGACTTAGATTATAGGTCTATTACAAGATCGGTTGAACCTGACAGTTGTCTTTCCTCCTTATGGTAAGACTACATGATGCAATCATGATTTTTTTTAGAATTGTTTATGTGATCTTCTAACTCCAGCAAGAAAAAGAGTCACTCGCAAATCACCTCGCTGATTTTGATAAGCTGACTCCTAATTTGATATTATTTCTTCGATACAACATAGCATTCAATAAGTTTATGAACGAATTTGTTATCGCCAGCAGGCAGGGTTGATACCATGATTCATGCCATCAAGAAGGGGTATTCGCTCAGCATAGTAGCCGTTTCCCGGCTCTCCGATCTCGGACTATTCTTAGTATAATGTCTCTGTTTAGTTTAGGTTCTACAATTTTTGCAGCCATAGCTTGATTAAAGGGTACTATTCCCATTTCAAAATAGTTCAGCCCTTAAGTTACACAATCTTTGGGTTGCAACGACTCTTATTACCAGGTAAACAACAGTAATGATCGGGCTATCTGACACGCACATTGCCCATTACTGCGCCGCAATGTAGCCAATTTCAGTACAACATAATAAATGTAGACACAATTGGAAAAATGTGCGCGTGCCGGGAGGGGGGTGAGAGCGGGTGCATGAGAGCATTTGCATGTATGTGAGTGTGTGGGGGGAGGGGGGGGAGGAATTGACAGCTTAGTTGCTCCTTTCTAACTTTTAAACAATACGGCCGGTGGCGTAAATTATTCTCAAAGGAGTAATTGCCAACGAGAGCAGCCTAAAAAAATCGAACCTTAGGGAGTGTGAAAGGAAAGCAACACGTTCCCCCACAACATTAAATCAAAATAAATACTCTGTTTTGAGACAGACTACTGTAAGATATTATCGGGCATGGCTTACAAACAAAAGTTTCTTAAGTTGGAAGTACATCAGAATGTAAGAGTGTAAGGGTGTTTCCAAAAGTTCAAACTTCATAATTCAAGATGACTAAGCTAACAAAATGCTTGTAAATGCCTGTAAATGTTGCTCATAGCTTCAGGGCGGTATACATAGTTTAAAGGATAAGAATTTAATCGTTCTCTTCGCTTGCAGCCACTTCTTATGTAGTGTACACCTTCTTTGCAGAAGATTATCCACTATAAACGAAGCTTAAAAAGAGCAATCTTCAATCCATTGCCCAAGAAAAGAGATTTTTATCTATGCTCCAGTTACAGAACGGTGTATAAGTTACATAAAATCGTTCTAAAAAGAATTGTAATCGATTTAGAAAAGAAGATTAAACAAGGAACAGGCAGGATTTACAAGTACAGACGGACTATGACCAACATGTTCAACCTACGCATTATCATTCAGAAGTATCGGGACGTTAATGCCATTTTGCATTCATTTTTCGTCGATAAGCCACAAGTATTCGATAGTGGACAACTCTTAAAGAAATGCACTGTCATCCAAAACTGAGTTATCTGATCCAACCCGTTTATGAAGGACAACAATCAGCCGTTCAGCTTCAATGCGGACTATCACAATGGTTTCTAATTACAAAACATTTTTGAAATAAGACTGCAAACGATCTAAATACCTCTTCAGTACATTTTGTATTATATAAAGCAGGAATGATGTGTGAAGTACAAAATAACTCAACAAGGGTGAATATGACGAATCAACGATACAAATAATATATTTATGAGACATAAGACATGCAAATGACACTTAACTCCTTGCCAAAAAACCGAGAGGACAAGAGAATTTAATAAAAATCCGCTAAAACGCAGTGACCTAGATGGATCACATTTAATTGATTGCGAAATAGAGAAAATAATGGGTTTAGACAAAGAGGAGGCTGTTGTAAGAGTTCATGAGGAAAATATAAAAAGAACAGCAGTTTTGAATAGCCTGGAGATAGGACTGAATTGAGGCAAATGAGAAAGCAAGCTTAGAGTTTAAGCGGAGAATTTCAATCGCAACATCAAAATTGATAACACCTATCTAGAAAGGACAAAAATAAAAATTCTAAGACGTACCATATTCCCCAATACAAGATATGGGTGTGAAACATGGACCATGAATGAACAAGATTTTAAAAAGGTGATAGTCTTTGAAATAAATATCATTGCTATAGATCTAAAAGGATTTTAAGATTACACTAGTACTTCAGAGAGAAAATAAAGATTGAAACAGTACTGAAAAATTATAGTTCGTATAGAAGCAAGAACATTCCTTCCAGTACGTAATAAACCTGAAGTGAACTACTTTGAGCATATCAAATGCCGTGGTTCAGTTGAGAAACGTGTGCTGGAAGCAATGATAGAAGATGATAGACGAAGGAAAAGACCCTACAGGAGATGGGAACAGGACATAAAAACCTGGCTTAGACTTAAACCTAAAATCTCAGGCAGGCAGAAGAAGAAGAAGAAGAAGAAGAAGAAGAAGAAGAAGAAGAAGAAGAAGAAGAAGAAGAAGAAGAAGAAGAAGAAGAAGAAGAAGAAGAAGG